TTCAAATAAAACTACAATATGCTTATCTCTCAAATATTTTATATTTTCACAAAAAACTATATGAACAATTGTTTGTAGTTGTAGGATACTAAAATAGGAACTAATAAAATGATAAATGACAGATAAATAAATTAAAAAATTATTAACGAAGTGACATTTTAAAAAGTGTTTGAGTCATTCCTTTAATTTTTTTGAATTTTGGTATATTGTTATAAATCCAAAAAGAAGTATTTATGTAAATTTATAGCTCTCTACCTCAACTCGTACAAAAATTGTCAATTTTCGTTGAAATATTTTTTAAATAGTTATAAATTCCATAATAATTAAGATATTCTAACTTTATTGGTCATTTTTTTTTATTTTTTAATGTTTTTGTGGAAAAAATTTTTATAATTGAGAAAAAAATTTTTTAGTGTCTCTTGAGCACACAAATTGAATTTCCTCTTCATGAGACATCTACGACTTTTTTCAAAAGAAATTCATAAATTTCTACGAAAAAAAAAAAAAAAAAAACCAACATGGAATAAGTAGATTCTACTGATAAAACTTGTACAATAACTAGTTTGATTTTATTTTACTCGTAATGTTGATAACCTCTTTCACATTCGCTATTGTTTTCATTCTATTTAGTTGAAATTTGAACGTTACTCGGGAGGGCATTCCCCCCTCACCTCCTCCCAGATTGTCTCGATCAAATTTAATTACTCCGAATTGTAAATAGCAAATAAGTAACGTGCGCAAACACACACATACACAAACACTTGAAAATGATACACATACATGATTGTGGAGTTTGTGATCGTTACACAGGGGCGAAATTATAAAACCTTTTGCTGAAATATGTCGATTTAGATGTGAGATTTTAACCGCTATTTTCCTACATACTTTTTCCTCCTTTAAATATTTCTAACACATTTTCCAAACTCACAGAGCAGGTACAAAAACTATCAAGTCATCAATCCCGACGGATATCCGACAAACTTGTAAGAGTCAACACAATCAGGAGAAGGCTTTTAATTTAATAGACCTGGTCACGATGAAGTAAATTTTTCATACGTTACGGCGATTGATAAAGCAATTCTCTAGTAACATTGGTTTTCAAAAAGATTCTTTAACCAGAAAGTTGAGCAAGCCTTGGAATCAGAATCAGACGATTCTTGAGCTAGACAGTTAACCAAGATTATTTGTCCAGACTGGCGACAGGCGAACAAGATTTTCAAGTAGAATCTGAAGCAAAATTTGGCCAAGTTTAGTAACAAGTCTGCAGTCAGAATTTGTCTAGATTGTTGGTAAAAAAATTTGACCCAGACTTGCGCGAGAAATGTAAAAGACTAACAGTGCGCATTTTTATTGTACTAAAATAAGAATGAGAACTTCTGCCTTCACAATTAAGTCTTATAAAGTGGTGGTGGAAAACCCCATCATTTCTAGCCATTTTTTGGACAAATTCTGACCCCAGTCTTGCTCAAATATCTGGAGCGATTCTTCGACGATTCTTGAAGAACGATCTGCCGTAAGTTTCTTGTCCAAGAATTGTAAAAATTTGTGTACAGATACTTTATCACAATTTTTGAGCCAGGCTTGCCCAAGACTTGAACCAAATTACTACTAAGGTTATAACAACCATAAAAAGAGTTGTAATCAGTCATTTGTCAAAATGAATCCAAAATACAGCACGATCCGGCACCAGTTCTAGTATAAGAGATTACAAACAGTCTTATAAATCTGGTAATTCACTAAAATTTAGTTGTGATTAATCCTTGATTGAGCTATTATCCATCATGACTATCTGTGCACGGATCATATAACCATGAAGGTATCACACTGGACGGATTTAGTGAAATATTAATCACGAGATGCGGCTATCAGGAGTTCTTCTCAACTCATCAAAGTCAACAAATTTTCGGAAGGATAGCTGTGCTTCCAAAGCTGGAAGAATTATTTTCCAATTAATTGTCTACAATGTTGATAAGCCATAAAGGTAAAGCCGAAGAGAATGCAATCCGTCGGTATAGAGTTGTTGCTGGAGAACAATGCTGACATTAGTGTTAGAACAATATCTGGATGGACAACATGATGTTCGCTTGTAATTACGAACATTTTGACATTATGGAGATGTTATTAGCCCACGGTAGTATCTACGATATTGAAGTCGTGCGTACAGTTGTACTAAACAGAAGTGCTAATGTTTTAGGGTATTTGAGTCATTCCATGCCAAATAGACAAATTTTTTACCTGTTCCCCTTCAACTTCGCTCAAAGTTTTGTATCTTTTTCTACCCTCCAAAAGACATTTTTAGGAATTACTTAACTGATCGGTAGAGCCGTTTAAAAGTTATTTCAAAAATACCACATTTGAAAAAATTTTTAACTTCCCGCTAAGAAAATTGAAAATTTTCAAAAATCGGGAATTAAGTTATTGTTTTTACCCCGTTTTTCGAAAATCGAGTTTTCATCAGATCTCGACGTTTTGAGGTCCTAGGAAGCTCCTCTGACTATTCCCGTGATGGTGTCCGTGCGGCTGTATGTATGTGTGTGTGTGTGTGTGTGTGTGTGTGTGTGTGTGTGTGTGTGTGTGTGTGTGTGTG